ATAGAGAAAGTGGAATCATGGTTGCCAGGGGCTGGGGTTTGGGTGGGAGGAATGGAGTTCTTGTTTAAAAAAAAATTTTTAACGTTTATTTATGTTTGAGACAGAGAGAGACAGAACATGAATGGGGGAGGGTCAGAGAGAGGGAGACACAGAATCCGAAACAGGCTCCAGGCTCCGAGCTGTCCGCACAGAGCCGGATGCGGGGCTCGAACTCACGGACCGCGAAATCATGACCTGAGCCTAAGTCGGCCACTTAACCGACTGAGCCACCCAAGCGCCCCTGGAGTTACTGTTTAATGGGTACAGAGTTTCAGTTTGGGATGATGGAAAAATTCTGGAAATGGATAATATGATTGTTGCCTCAACGTGACTTAATGCCTCTGAATTGTATAAAGTGGTAAATTTTTACTACTGTGCTATGCCACCCATGTGATGTTTGTGTATATATTCATGTTATACATTACTTAATACATATAAGGCTCTGAGCCTAGTCACAAGAAAAAAAAGTTAAAAAGTAAAAATAAAGGGTAAATTTTATGCTATGTATATTTTAACACACACTGGAAAACAATTTTTTTTTTAATTTTTTTTCAACGTTTATTTATTTTTGGGACAGAGAGAGACAGAGCATGAACGGGGGAGGGGCAGAGAGAGGGAGACACAGAATCGCAAACAGGCTCCAGGCTCTGAGCCATCAGCCCAGAGCCTGACGCGGGGCTCGAACTCACGGACCGCGAGATCCTGACCTGGCTGAAGTCGGACGCCCAACCGACTGCACCACCCAGGCGCCCCTGGAAAACAATTTTTAAAAAACAAGTAAAAAAGACCAACGAGGAATAGAGTGCCCTTTGGCCTCCAGACGTTTGAGATTCCAGAAAAGGAAGATGCGTAGAGCCACGGGGAAGGACAGTGTCCGGTTAAAGAACGGCTCCCAGGCACCGCTGTTGTGGCCGGGGGACTGAGAAAGCACTTGTCATTGGGCCTAACAATTGCCCATCTACCTGGCTCCCCCACCGGACCCCTCACACCACGGACTCCAGTTTTATTCTTTCTCTCCAGAACCAGAGCTCTAGGCACAAAGTGGTATCTCAGTACAGACTTGTGGAATGATTCCAGGAGAGACGCAGCCCCAAGCGTCCGCCGAGTTGGGAAACACGTTCGTATACACATTCATGGGTAAACTCTTGGGATGCTCTGGGGCAGAGAGAGCTGGAGTCCAAGGTCCCAAATGGGGAGTTTACTCCCCCAGGTCTCTGCTAGCCTTCACCCACCAAAGGAGGTTCTGTGAGGGGACCGAGTGCAAGGCGCCGAGCCCCCCCGACCCCAGGGGAAGGTCCCGCCACCTCCCCGATTCCTGCTGCCGCACAATCCCAATAACTGCTCTCTCGGGCGGGGGGGGGGACTTGTGGAGCGCCCAAACCATCCAAGTGAAAACAGCAGAAACCTGCGGTTCAGGGAAAGGCCTCTGCTCCTGCTCCGCCGCTCCCGAGAAGGAGAGGTGGGGCCTCAAGAAACAAAAACCCTGGCCGTCCGACGGCCAGTGGGAGGGAAGGCCCGGAGCCCACTAGCCACACTCCCAAAACGCCTGCTGCCTCCCAGCTCGGGATCCGGGCCTGCGGCGTGGTCAGCAGGGCGCTGCGCCGCCGCCAGGGGGCAGCCCTTCCCCACGTGGGCACTACCCGGCCAGGCGGGCGCCCCGCGCGTTCAGCTTGCACGCCAGCGGAGCACACGAGAGGGAGATCGCCGCGTCGCCCCCAGCCCGCCTCACAGACTAGTTTCTCGTCCCTTGTGCCAGCTTGAGAGCGTGGCGGTGGATATTCCCCAGCCGGGGCTGAGAGCTGGGAGCACGTTTGGGAGGGACGCCCGGGGGGAGGGGACGAGGCGCGCAAAGGAGGACCACGCGGGAAATGAAACACTTGGGTTTCCGCGCTCTGGGAATTTCAAGAGCCGGGAGCTACAGGCCGCGTACAAAAGTGTAGCTTCACTAAAGCAAACAAAGCAAGTGACACGTCCAAATCTGGGGCTCGAGTATAAAGCTCACCCAAATCTCTGTTAACACTGTCCCCGCAGCACTCCTCCTGGGTTGATCTTCAGCTCTGACCTTCTCTAAATCCTAACACTTATCCTTGAGTGGCCAGAAGATAATTTGCCACGTTTTTCAAACGTTTCCAGGGAAGATCCCTTTAACCCTTCGGGGAGGGAGCTTTGGACAAAGGTACAAACGGAACGCAAAGTCAATCTCAGCGCCCTCCTTGGCCAGACAAGTTCAGGGTAGGGGAATGGAGGCTGATCACCTAAAGTAACTAATGGTCTGCGAACAAATTCCTCCCCTCAGTTTTACCTTCAAATACCTCGCCACACACCAATCCTCAGTCTAGTGCAAATCGTGGTGTTTATTTAGCTATTGACTGGGTACTTATAAAACTTAAACTTCCTAATGTAAAAGTGAACGCCTTGGTAAGGAATCCTGGCTACATCAACAAAGCAATGTGATGCCTGATTAATAGTGCTGATTAATGTTGGCTCAGGTTAATGCTGAGCGCCTTACAATAATTAAATGGTTCAGTCATTTTTCAAACGAGACTCAATGGAAAATAATTTATTTACAATTTGAGGCGTTCTCGTAGATCTGTCAAAGATCTATGATGGACTTTATGGGTCATTTGTAAGTGTAACTGGTGGTTAGCTCTCTTAGGCAACAAAAACTCGATTTTAAAATAAGTCTTAGGTGGGGGGACAGTTTATTTTTGAGACTCTGTGATGGATAAGGGGAGTAATAAAACGTTTGAAAATGTGAAAAACCTGGTGGATAAAATGATATACACAAAGGTAGCTGATGAGTGTTCCTACAAAAAGCCATTGATTTTTGATAGTTTTTGTCAAGTGGTTATTTTAACCAGAAAGCTGTAATTTGGAGGCAGGTCCCTACTTTGAAATAGAAGTGTTTTAGGAAATGCAAATATCGAAAATGTATGGCTATGTGAGTGTGAATTCCACAAGCTATTGGGATTCTTACACCAGCCACAATGATTAGAGTTGATGACAAAGATGGGAATACTCAAAATAATGTCATATTTAAATTATTTCCACTACCTTGTGACCTGAAAAGGAAAATTGGATTGAAAAGAACTTGCATCTTATTTTAAAATATTATTTCGTTTCTTTTTCACGAGTAGCTATTGGAAATATTTAGATTTTCCAAAAACATTTCTAAAGCTGGTTTGAAAGTTTTAATTAATATAGTTCCTATTAAGCCTGAGTGTGTGTATATGTTGTAGTTATTTAAGTATTTTGAGATTACTGTGAAGTGTTGATTAGAATGTTCCTCTTACTAAGAACTATAGAGTCCCTTACCCATTATGAAAGAGCTTTTTATGAGTTGCTCCTAGGGTGCAGTTTTTAAAAATGTATTTTGTTTTTCACTAACATTTTCTATTTCTTTTCTGCATTCAATGATTACTTTCTTTATTCCCATGAAATTTGTCAGATCCTCTCATTAGAGGGGCTTAGTTTAGCTGTCAAGTTTCTAGGGCATTCAGTTGCAGATAAGTGACTAAAACGCCAGCCTAACCACATTTTTATTAACAGATGGCGGAAAACAAACGTCTTTGGAGAAGAACCGAAGGGGACAGGTTAAAAGGTCAGTAAACAATTATTATTGTGCTTAAACTGGGGGGGGGGGGGGTCCTCAACAGATTCGATGGGGGAGCTGCTGGCCCAATCTGGGGGAGATGGGACAACCCAACAGATCTCAGAGCCATTCCCCAGGGACCACCTCGGACGATTGGGGGAGGGGAGTTACCTCTGGGCTGGACGTCTCCTACATGCCATCTGACTGGTCAAACTGTCGCGTCACGGGAGTGCTTGTGAAGTTAGGATTGAGGGCTAATTGAAGGGAAGGAGCCTGGGAATTCCAACTCGTTCAGTGGCCCTAGGTCCAGAGCACCGCGGGCCAGCACGTAATTCGGGTCCCAACCCCTTTGACAAGGAGTAGTAAAGAATGGTGGGGTCCTCTCTCCTCCCCCCATGTTCTCAGTTGTTACTCCCTCCTACGGGCAAACTTTCTCTCCCGAGCAGGGCTGATTTCCTAGGCTTTCTTTCCCTTCCCTCGGTAGCGCTCTGACGTGCACACCATGTGACAGGCCTCCTGCTATAAGCCGAGGAAAGGTCCGCCCTCTCCTGGACTCAGCCCTCGCCTCGCCGAGCTCGGTCCCTAGACTCTCACCCGTCCCGCACCGTCCCGGGCGCCCGACACTCTGACTTGCTCGCCCGGGGCCTCGCCACCCCCTCCTCACTGATCGTGCGAGGCCCCGCTCCGCAAGGGGAAGGTCAAGTCCCCCCGCCTGGGACCGGTGCGCGCGGAGTCCAGCGAGTGCAGAGACCTTGCGGCTCTCGCGGCGGCGCAGGAGTTACAAAGTCGCCGCGCAAAAAGCCTCTGCCGCAGCCCGGCAGCTCCCGCGCAGCTCCAGCGGCGGCGGCGCCCCCAGCGTGGCGCCCCCGTGCCGGGCCCGCCGCCCGGGACCCGGGCTGGGGCGCGGCGGGAGCCC